GTGTAATTTATTTTAAAACTTAATGTGCTTGTCTTGGGACCAAAAATTGCATTGAAAGGTTGCATAATTTAGAAATATTTTATTTTAAAATCCAGTGTGTTTATTAAAATTACATTTATTAAAAATTCAAGTTTGTGGGTCCCAGGAATGCATTAGTCCAGTTTTTATTATTTTAAAAAGGAAATACCTTTTCTAATAATTTGAAACTTGAAAAAGGTTTTTGAACAAATTCCAAGGTTCTTAGTGTGAGGTAAATAGGAAAACCCATTAAGTTCTGACTATATTGCTGAACATTTTGGGGATTTTCTTGCGACTACAGTATTTGAATGTTCAATGAACTCTAGCTGACAAGTCATGAATTCAAGATCTCTTGCTACTGGAAGGCCTTCCATGTGGAGGGGTCGATGCACTTCGTCATAGCTCAAAGTTTTCATGTTGGCATGGTGTGTGAATTGAGAGAGAGTGTGTATGGGGGGGGGGTCATCCTCAGAGCTTGACCAAAGTTAAAACTAATGAGATGCTGTCAGTTACCCTTGTGTTGCTTTTGAGTGCAATGCTAATAAAAAAAATCTGTATCAAAGCTGCAGATTTTCTGTGAATGATTTTTTAAAATTTTAATAACATATATTTTATATTTAATCATGTACAGATTTTTAATTTTGGCTGAGAGAATATAGGAAAAGAAACTACAATAAAAAATGAATTTTGATTAATCCTTATTTTGTATTTTTTCCATACAGTGCAAATTATAGAAGTTATTGTTATATTAATCTTATATTTGTCACACTTATTAATTTACATGGTCAGCATGAGTGGTCTTAATAGAAAAATTTAGTGCCCTTAAAATATTGTTTTGTTTAAGAAGTTAAGGATACTTTTAGAGGAGGTAGTCAATTAGGAATATCTTATTCATTATTATAGATGTGGAAGGAAAAGAGTAATGGTAATTACTTAAAATTCAGTCATACTTTTTCAAACATGTATGCATGATTAATTTTTTGTAGTAATTTTTTATGGGTTTAATTTCCTTCATCATTCAGACTGTCTTGTATCAACATTTATTCTTGATAATTGCTTCAGACTTTTACATAGAAAGTACTCAAATATTCTAGAATTTATCTGAAGTGGCAACTTCTTATTTATATTTATTATATTTTATTATTTTTTTTCTCTGTTACCAGTATTAAATATTGAACTTATATATTTTTTCTTTGTAGAATTCACTCGGGAAGCAATGTCATCGTTGACGTTTCAACAAAAACCTTTCTTTCCTTCTCCACCAGATAAAGGAAGTTTCCCATTGGATCATGATGGTACGGTCAAACAATGCATAACATACTTGTTTATTGTAGTTTTATTTATAATGTTGACCTATATTCTTAATCACATTTACCTGCCACCAAAGCAAGGACTTTAATTTTTTCTTTATTATGGAAATAAAATTGCAAATTTTATTATTTCTAATATTTTTGGAAATAATATTCATTGTTTCTCTATAATTGAATTCCACAATAGAATTATCAATACTTAAATTAATTTCATTATATAAATATTTTGCAAATCTGAATTCTAAACACCTGCCACAAGCTTTATCTTTTTATAGAAAGCTCTGAGAAATCTATTTCTTGAAACAGCTATAGCTTCTAGATCTGTCTTTTATGAAACCATTTAGTTGTATTTATTTCTAATGTAGAAAATTGTGTTTGAATTATTAATAATTTATTTAAAATTATTCACAGGATCTTTTTTAATAATCCTTTTTAATGATCATACTTTAATTGTCATCAAATTTTGTTCTTGATTGATAAAGAAAGCAAAGTTTCATATAATAATTAACTATTTTTTTAAATTAAAATATTTATTTGTGTTTGCATTTATACAGTGATTCTTTGATATTTAATTTATCTCACATTGTTAGAAAACTTTTTTTAGTAATGAGATGAGTTGATGAATTATCTGGTCATATTAATGTGAAATATATAGTGAATTTAGGAAAGAAAAGTTATATAAGAGATTTAATAATTTTGAAATGGAGAAATTTAGCATCTATAAGTTGTCAGTTAACTAAAACTGGAAGAATATCTAAAGTTATATTTATAAAATTAGTTCCTCTGGAAAACAATAGAGTTAGTGTACTTGGACTTATGGGGTCCAATATGTATAATATCTAGACTAGGAAACGGATATTTTAAAAATGTTAGAGATGACTATTTCCATAAGGTGATAGTTTTTTTCCTCAAAAATAAATTCCAGTTATTCATTACTTTTAAGAAATGGCAAGCATATACTGGAAGATTTACAGGTAGAAAGGTAATTACCAAGGCCTTGAGTTTTTCCATGAGGAATTCGATAAATATGTAGACATCCATGTTGAAAGTACCATCAAAAAGGAAATGATGAAATATTGAGCTACACAGCAGTAGATTCTGTGAAAGCATTTTAATATGCCTTCATAAGTGATTTTCAGAAGAAGCACTACTATGTGTTGCATGCTATTGGAACTGGTTTTCTCATTATAAACAGGTAAGGCCTTTCTTTGAAATGAATGAGGTAAAACTCCATCTGTTAAACATATTAGCACCTCAGACTCAATAGTTCATATAGAAATGCTATAACAGTTGAAAAAGAGAAACTTGATCTCTGATGTAAAAAAAGGCATGGTTGAATACACATGAAGTAAACAAAGAATTACTATGGAAGGATACCAGAAGATAGAAAAAAATTTTCGAGACCATCAACATTCAGTTTGATAATGAACATAGTGAAAGCATCCTGGACCTTCATGTTAAGTCTACCAACATATTTAATCAAATGTTGGCAGTGAATCTGATTTAAATCCCTATATTATTGGTTCCACCCAAAAAGGATGTTACTTGGCACAATTCTGACAAAAGCTGAGCCGTATATTACACCAGGATATATGAATTTTTTGTAAAAATTTAAATGTTTATATTGAGAGATTCAGAGTATATAATTTCAGCACTATAAATACATATTCTGGGGCAACTTAAGGATATGAGCATTAAAAGAAGTTACCCTCCATTATGACTAGAAGATAGGAAGAAGATCACTAAGAATTGCTTACATAGGCAATTGGATATTAAAAATGCATAAATTGATCTGCATATAACATGGTTTTTAAATGCATATTACATGGAAAAAGCCTCAAGATTTTGAGGGTCTAAACCTGGGGTAGGCATTAAGCCGATCGCGATCAACCGGTCGATTGCCAAGATAATTTAGGGTGACTGCCTTCTCTAAGATCTAATAATCATTTCATCATATGAAGGTCTGGAAATATTTTGAAAATACGGAGAGAAAAAAGTCGAACTACAAGAAAAAAAGTTTGCTAAATATAAAATGTGTTTCACTCTATTTGGAGGTTATTTTTTGAAGAAAATCGTAAAATTTTCTTAATTCCAGGGAAAAGTTCGCTATATAGAGAAATTCGTAAAGTGAGTGAGAGCGAATGTTAGTGTCACACTTTTCAGCTACACGAGGGGTTTTGGTGACGGACCTCGTAATTTTGAACCATGACGAGGATGACTCCTGATCTGGCACCCCCTCTCCTAACTACCACACCAACAGGAGGAGGTTTGAGCTCTCCACACATTTAACATGCATTGCTCCCCTACACAGCAGGTCTTCAGTGGCACTGGGCTCGAACACGACACGCCAGCCACGAGTCCGTTACCTTGGCCACTAGGCTACTGCGGCCACAAGAGAAATTCACAAAATAGAGATTCGGCTGTATTGTAGGCCTTCTTTTAGCTCACTACAACTATGCCATTGGGTGGACCGCAACACCTTAAAAAAATTAGAAGTAGCCCTACCCTGGAAAAGTCTGCCTACCCCTGGTCTAAACAATCCTAATTCAATTGTTGTTTGAAGGAGTATTGGTTTTGTTTGACTTGCATTATAAAATGAATACCAAATTAGAGAAAAATTTCATAACAAAATTATGCATATATATATTATTTTTTACAATATGTAAATGATATAGTTGTCTTTGGTAAAACAGATAGTCATATTATAGAGATTTTAAGTGCTGCATTTAATTTAAAGGATCTTTGTTGAACTCACAAACTATTTGAGAATAGATCTTTGAGGTGGTTCATGACAAAATTTTTATGCACCAGAATTGTATAAAGAAATTATAAGAACAATTTTGTAACTTAAAACCTGTCTATTTACCATTGCTAAAGGTGTAGTTTTATCAAAAAATGAACCAGACCAGATTTATCCTTTGCAAATAATATACTTTCCCACTTTCAGTCTAATTTAGGAATATTTAAACTAAAATATGTGAATATACTAAGAATATTAGTAACTACTTTTTTAAAACTATTGCCAAGAAAGAATTGGAAATGTTTATGCAATACATATATTTAAAATCTTGAAAAATCCAGATTTTTCAGATATTTTCAAGTTGAAATTGTGTACTTGAGTATATTGTTTTTTAATCTCTATTTTAAATGAAACTGTTATGCATCCACTCAAGTTTTAAATAATTACATATGCCATATATTTTTGTTATATGACTTTTTTTTTATTACATTACACTGTTGTATTTGCAGAAGGGAAGCACATAGTCACACTCATGTATTATGTATATTACTAAAAAATCAATTACTATGTATAAAGTATTAGTTATAACTATGCATAAAATATTAGTAAGGTATTTAATGTTAGAGTTCAGTATTTGAGGCTCTCACTCAAATATTTGCTACTACCACCAAGATCTGCATAAGTGGAGGCTCCAGTTAGGCTCACACCTTGACCATCTGTGCTCTCTGTCGCAGCCCTCCTACTCACCTCCCATACAGTACATTCATGAGACCACATAAAAGGTGTCGGTAGATCTAGACAGCAGGACGGTGCCCATAAAAGTTGAGATTCACCAAGGAGTGTGTAACAACTCACCTGGTGAAGCAACCGGCCCTGAAAATGGATGGTGCTCCAGTATCAAGCCCATACTTGGCTGCCTCCCCCAAAATCTGCCAGTGGATCACTTGGCTCACAGGCTTATGAAAAGTGCAGCCAGCTGCAAGATTTGGTGTGAATTGCAGGACACTCAGATCACTGATATTTCGAACATGCATTGTAGCTCCGACTCTGTGTTGGAGGCTTGCCAATCTGAGGGTTGCATGAAACTTGCACAGGACCTTGATCCAATCAGCAGCACCAACTTCCATGGGTACCATCCTGCTGTCTAGAGCAAATCTATTTAACTCAATAATTACTTATGTATATTACTATAAAATTGAAAAAAATATTTATTAGTATGTTTTTAAGATGTATTTTAATGTGAAAATAATTATAGTTTTTTTCAAACTATAATTTATTTTTAACTACATTCGTTTCGTACAATATGCAATTTCATTAATCCGACATGAATATAACAATTAATAAAATGAAACAAATCATTAAATAAGAAACAAAATAGAAATGCAATTTAAAAAAAAAAAAAGAAACAACATAGGAACAAAAAATAATTCATCTCACTCCCTAGGGATAATTAAGCGTTCTTATCATATGTCCTTCTAGCTTGTGGGAAAAATTGAGCAAAGTTCTTGCGGAGAATTACTCGGAAACTGTTCGCAATGAGTTTCTGCCGGACTCATTGCGAACAGTTTCCAATATCAGATAACAACTTAATGACCTAAGTGGGGGCAACTCCTACAGTGAAGCAGTGATAATGGACACAATAGGAAGGGTGTGGTACTTGACATCTTGACCTTTGATATCTGCTGACCCAACACGAGGCAATTACACGCTTCAGTAACCATTGGTCCAAAGCTGACCACAAACACGCCTTCGTCTGAGAAGTAGAATGGCCATACGAGAAGTCGTTTTCCCATTGGTTTTTCCGCGCCAAATCCTTGACTTCCCATTGGCCTGTTTTCTGCTCTAAAATACATATAAATACACATCTGATTTTCGTTTCACCCTTGAGTTTTCATTTTCTTGGTATATTATAAATCTGAAATGTATAGATGATTAATAATTTTCCATATTCTATGGAATTTAAGTATCATACATTTTGCATTTTTACATGATAGTTTACTTGCATTGTGATACATTAATAGAATACTTAAACATTTATGGAATGTTAACCAATGGTATTGGATACTTCTTTAATATTTATTCTAACCAATTCTAATGAAATACATCTTTGAATATTAAATTATTTTTTTTTGATACAGTCTGAAATCATTTTCAACATGCTAATCCAATCACTTTGAAGTAGATACGTCAATTCTTACTATAATAAATGATTGAATTTAAGTCAAGATATAATTTTATTAGTCAACTGAAAGTGAAGGAATATAATTTTTAAGAGAAATTTGGTGCCATTTGAATCAGTGTACAAGTGAGAAAATATCAAAACTGCAAGAAAACTAAATCTTAAAAGATTTGTTAGTAACCATTGAAGTAGTTACATATACTATTCCAAAGTTACAAAACCCATGCAATTTTAAATATTTGTTAAAAATCCTTGTAGCATATTTGACAAATATGGCACATAGGTTGAGAAACACTTCTTTAAATTCTGCTTTGATATAAATAATGATAGTTAATTGCATGAGTATTAACAGCTTCAAATTGTTTCACATTTTATTTGAAATTTATAAGGGAGAGTGAAAAATGGATTTATACTTAAATTCAGAAATTGATATTGATTATTGTGTATCTTAGGTGAGTGTAAAAAGCACATGTTAAAATATCTACTGTGTCTAAACCAAAAAGAAAATTCTAATGCAGAATGTAGATTACTGGCTAAAGATTACTTACAGTGCAGAATGGATAGGTAAGTGTTTTAATTCGATGAATATCATTTAATTTTGTAATCAAATGACTTTGCAAGACATTTGTAATAATTTTGCTCAAGTAAAAAAGGATTACAAATTTATTGGAGCTTTAACTGAACCCACTAGATATATTAGTTTTAAAAAATTATATGAAAAGCTTTAGGATTTCTTTAAAAAAAAATTAAATTATGCTATTTAGATGTAGCTGTTTTTTAAAATAATTTTTAATAGCCTATAATAATAATAGAACAGAAACATTGAATATCAGCATGCTCTTGGCATTTGAAAGCAATAATTTTAATTCCTTCAAACAAGTTTTATTTTTCGCATATATGATAATTTATATTATGTTGGATAAAGTGTGCACATTTATTTTGCATTATGAAAAATAAAAATTAACTGGAATATATTTTAACATCTAGCTGTAGTATTGTAGGATGATAAGTATATTTACTTTGATTTTTAGTTAAATCATCATTAATGAAAATTATTTAGTTTTTTTATTTTTTCCCAAGATTGATGGTACTTAAAAATTTAAGAATGTGTTAGAGAAAAAATTCTCCCTTTTTACTGTTGCATATGAATATTATAGGTTGGATTACTATATTTTAATAATTAAATAAGTTCATTTTAGAGTTTTTTTTAAAAAAATAGTAAATGGTATGAGTTTAAAAACGAAAAATATACCATAATTCTTTGAATTTCAGAATTATCAAAATGAATTCTGTGTTGCTAAATATAACTTATCATTAATAGTTCTATTTCTTTTTCAATGTGCTGCAGTTTGATTCCACTTGAAATAATTGACAAGATAACTTATTTTAAGATCTGTTGCTAATAACCCTCATCTATATTAATAAATAAAATTGAAGTGTCTGTTTGTAATTTCAAATTAGCAGCTTTTTACTAAATGCATTTAAATATATATATGGTACTTATATCAAAACATCAATTTTTAAAATTTTTGTCTGTCTGTTTGTTCCGGCTAATCTTGGAAACGGCTGGTGCGATTTTAAAAATTCGTTCACTAATGGAAAGCTACATTATCAGCGAGTAACATAAGGTACATTTTATCTCCATATTCCTACAGGAACGGAAACTATGCGGGTAAAACCGTGGGACTTTGCTTACTCCCCACCAAGTTGGCGCAAAATTATGCATTTGGTCAATAATGGAAATTTTAATAATGGAAATTTCTCCCATATAGAACACAGTGTAATTTAGCATCTTTACAAAAAACAATTTTTTAAATGGTTTTTTATTAAACGTATAACGTTTGTTAAATGTCAAACTCAAACTTTGAAAAATATCGCCAAGTTGGCTATGAAGATCTCTATTCTGACAATCCCAGATATTTTAATGCAAATTTTCTACCACATTTTAAAGAGGGAAACAAAATAAAGTTTTAGCGAATTGCGTGCATGATATTGAAAATTCTATGGTAATATTAATTGACAGTTTCATTAAAAGTTTTGATTTTTCGAATGTTTATCACTTTGAATTTTTTTAAAATCTAATTATACAATATTCATATTTTGCACAAAATTTTTCACTTATACTGAACCTAGATATTTTACGTGTAAGAATTACTTTGAAGATATACTATTTAATACTATGGAGGAGAAGCCATACAATGTCACTCGCCGAATAAAATTAGGGAGCTTTACACAATACTTATTTCATCTTCGGTCTTTCTAATCCTCAAACCTTTTGGAAAAAGTGCACAGACTACATGGCGGAAAATATTTTGCAGCAAATTCAAGCAAATATGCCTTTCAATCAACACATCTACAACGAAACGCAATAAAGGTTTTCAAAATGGTTGGGAAGAAGCTACATGATTTTAGAATGATTATTCCTAGACGTATCGACAGAAATGGCTTCGATAATGAAATTGCTTGAGAATTAAACTACGATTTTATAGCATTGCAACATCAAGTAACAGAATTTATACCTCAAATAACTCCAGAACAAAGTCACGTTTTCCAACAAGTGTTACGCAAAATAGAATCCGGCAGTGGTGCACTCTTTTTTCTAGACGCCCCTAGATGAACCTGAAAAACGTTTTTGCTTAACTTAATATTAATGACCATCAGAAAAAACCAGAAGATATAGCAGTTGCTATGGCTTCTTCGGGTATAGCCGCGACTTTACTCTCTTAATCTTGCATTTGAAGATTCACTCATGTGAAATTTCAGAAAAAATAGCTCTCAAGCAGGATGCTTCCATAATGCAAGCTTTTAGTGTAGGATGAAAGTACAATGTCTCACAAGAAAGTTATAGAAGCGTTAAATCGGACTCTTCAGGATTTACGAGATAGTACAGATATTATAGGAGGAATGGGTACTTTATTATATATTGGCTGGTGAATTTTCAAATACTCCCCCTGTAATCCTGTCGCAGATGAAATCAGTCTCTATTAAATCATCAAGCTTATGGGCAAAATTTGAAAAATTAAGTCTGAAAACGAATATGAGAGTACATCTTCATAATGACGTAGATTTGAAACATTATGCAGAGACGCAATTGAAAATCGGTTATGGATGTTTGGACGCAAATGCTGGAGGTTATATTTTACTTCCAAAGAAAATGATGTAAATCTTATTGCTCAAATTTACCCGGGCTTGCAACGAAATTTAAATTGGGGTCAGTGGTTGCGCGCAAGATCAATATTGGCGCCTAACAATGACATTGTCCATAAAATCAACATTGAAAATTTAAACAACGTGTGGGGGAGGGGGGAAATGAAGAAATGTTTATCAATGAATACAATCATGGATAAAGAACAAAGTACTTCATATCCCACGGAGTTCTAAAATTCACTTGAACTTTCGGGTGTACCCTCACATAAACTTCAATTAAAACTAAATGTACCAGTTATGTAAAAGAACGAGGCTTTGGATCACAAAACTGATGCAGAATATACTTGGTGCCAATATTTTAACATATGTCATGAAAAGGGATAGAATTTGAGGTATGATAACACTAAGTATCTCCACTGACCTACCGTTTCAACTCAAACGATTTCAGTATCCCCAGTTTTAATGTTGCTATTAACAAAGCTAACGTTTCAGGTAGCAGAGGATCATTTGGAAAAGCAATGTTTTTCCCATGGCCAACTATATGTAGCCTGATCGGTGTGTCCAATGCCCAAAGCTTCACATATTTGCAACTGACGGAAGGACATATAATATGGTATACAGTTCTGTTTTGAGCTCTTTTAAAGAGAAATTATATATTAAACGTAGATACTTTCGATTTTTAAAAATATTAATAGCTTAAGTTATTGAATTTTTGTTGTTAATTATTATAATAAATTACACATTTTCAGT